AGAAATACGTGCATGTATATATTTATTCACAATTAATATTATATATAAATATTGATATATTAATAACACATTTTTCTTAAATATATACATGCATGTGTGGGTATTTATATATACAGATTAATTATACACACTACACAAACGTATATTATTTAAACACAAACTTTTATTTTGGATGCGATTAATCGCGATTAATCGTTGCCCATTCCTACTACACACACAAAAAGGCTAGCTTGATGTTTGAATCTTATTTTTTTAAATACAGTAATATGATATTTTGTTAACACTGCTTCAGAATCAGAATAAAGCTTACCACCCGAGCTATAACTCTAAGTTTGATATTTATTTGTTTATTTATTACATACAACAGGAGTATTACCGCCACCTACCCTATATGATGACGTGCTGATATCCTGGAAATGCACACTTTTTAACCATTGTATATAATATAGCGAGACCTACAGCACATTAAGTGTCTAATTGAAAAGCGTATGAACAGCGTGCATTTTCCTCTGCTTGTAAACAGAAAGTTTTGCGCTTCCGGCACGTCATCTTATACGGTAGGTGGCGGTAATACTCCTAAGCTGTGAGCAGCCGGTAACAAGAAGTAGTCGAAGAAGAACATCCTCATCTCAGTTCTCGCGCATGCGAGATCCCACCATAGAGGGTCCCCCAGGATAAACAGAAAAACTAATATTAGCGTAGACGCCATCCTTCTTTTGATGTACCAAGTACATCAGGTTTTACGGGACACGTTCCCGGTTCTGGCTGAGTTCGTACTGTGGAAGAATACACATATGGGATTGCCGTAGGGATCAGAGCATATGGACCCTGCCTAACACAGGTTCCACCAGTGCATACGAGTGATAGGCCTGGCTTCGGACGTTCCACCATGTCCGTTGCCGAAGGGTATGGATGAACTCGACAGGGTTCGGCTTAAAAGGGGAACTCAACTGGAGCAAGAATTGCACACATATCCACTTAATAGGTGGGGAATGGCGCAGCAAACCGACACAATGAACCGGCCTTCCAGTGAAACTGGCTTCATGTGAAGAGAGCCCACGGGAAGCAGTGGTTTGACTAAGGTGTCGCCCAGCCCTCAACTCTAGAAAATCTGCCAGCGAAGCACTCTGTGTCAACGCCTAAGCGGGAGCACACACTCATTTAAAAAGAGCTCAACACCTAAGTGGACAAGTGCTGGCTTTGTAAGCTCTTCCCGTCAGAACGGACGAGAACTCAAGAGGCCTTAGGGGGGAGACAAGGATACCCCCAAAAGGCAGCGGCCACAGGACACAGGTACACCTGTGTCACGACAGACCACAACCTTGCAACCCTTCACCACTCCTCCATCAAGGGCAGTGAGGGGGAAAAGCTATTCAGGCAGTTTCTGGACAAGAAAGGTGCCATCCACAACCTTGGTAAGCTCTCCATGCACTTCGCAAAAGAAAGGCACTGGGGTGGCGAGCTGAGAACCAGAGTGGCCCGCTCGGAGATACCAATCCTCCAACCGAGACTGAACAGGACACGGTGGAGGGTTCCACTCGAGCCCGGCAGCCTCTGCGGCCTGTTTCAGCATAGCTGGCTTTTCTGGATCTGGCTCGGGTAATGTTAAACTCCCAGAGGGTGAAAACACAGCTGAGTCATCATCTCCAGAGGCCAGCTCACCCTCTGATGCTGCTATCGACATCTTATCCTCTGGGGGAACCCCAATTAAAATGGCTGATCGGTCCATTACAGAGGGACCAGCACATTCAACAGGAATTCCATCGGCTGTAGTGCGATAGAGGAGTCCACATGGAATGGTTACCAGGCGAGACCTCCATCACTATCCTCCCTTCACCCATCCCACACGGCACCCAAGGGTGGGGCATGGTAATGGGGACTCGCGCTTTGCAGACGGTTTGATGCAATCGTGACCAATTTGAACAATTATGAACGTCAGAGAGGAAAAGGGAACGACCGCATCCAGAAACTTGGATTTTTTTTAAAGGGACGCAAACACACCTGTGTTGCTCTTTCAGAAAACAGGACCCATCACCATGGGAATGACCGCAGCAACACGGAACAGTGAACTGAAACAGTGAAGCACTCACATCTAACCAGCCATCAACACACACAAACCTTTAGAATTTGTTGCTTTTAAAACAGTTGTTGAGAGCTCAAAGCTCGCGATCACCAGTGCACTCGCACTGTAGAAACCACGAGCACTGGGAGAGTTTTCCAGAAGAACCGACACACTCGCTTGTTGTAACAACAGCACTCTTCAGAGACATCAAACGATCGGCTCCGTAGTGAACGACAATTATAGTGCCATGCTGCCATGCTGGCGAACAATAAGGGGCTGAGGGGTGCAAGGCTTACAGGGTCGCACATCACCAGACTCGTCCTCTTGGAACCCAGGAACAGAGGAATTTGCTCTTTCTTTGGAGTCTGGGTACCGCTTCCTCAACTTCTTTTGAGAGCATAGTGAGTGGCACTGCATGCATCCACTTCCGTATTTTTACACGCACTGCGAGGGGGGAGTGAGTAATGCATTTCACGCTTGCCAATTGCATTGGCACGTTTTAATAATACTTGAAGATGACAGGCTCTCTAAGCGTGAAAGGGGAGCTCTGACATACCAAAAGGAGAGACAATTTCGATAATTTAATCGAAATGATTTTAAACGATCAGCCTTGCATGATTTGCTCAGAAGAAGTCAGGTCAAGTCAAGTCAAATATATTTATATAGCGCTTTTCACAATACAGATTGTATCAAAGCTGCTTCACAGTATCAATCAAGACAACATAACAGTGTTTGTTTATTCATGAAAAGAAGTCAGATATCAATACGTTGCAAAATTGCATAAGGTCCTACCGACTGATGTGAATCAGTGCCTTGCTTTATCGACCTTCAAAAACATCAATTCCAGGATATTTGTATCTGAAATTCCCGTACAAAGAGCACTTCATGTTTGCACAGAGTATTTGCTTTGCAGTGGTTCTATTTGCTAAGTGTGTAAAATTTGTTACGACAGAACCACAACAGTTCCAGGCGTCCTAAGCTCACATTTGTCAGTGTTTTAAAGATGGAGTACATAATAGGGCTGTCAATCTTCCTCAATAATACTATTAGAATTCCATTCCATATTTTATGTAATGTTCAAATAATATTTGAATATTAAATGCTCAAACTCATCCTATTATTAATATTTACAACATAACACAATCTTATGGATCGCCAATGCCACTATACCCTGTGGGTGTTGTTACACGTTGTGTCCACTAGAGGGACATCTAACATTACTACAATAAACATTTACATCGCTTTCTTATTAACAATAAAAAAGCGGAACAAACGTGCGTCCAATATTAACTACCAGCTATATGCAGTGTGCTAACCTCGAAAATCTAGCTGTATTCTAATAACTTAGCTCACCTTATTAGATAGGCTCCTTGCATGCTGGCTAATAACTTTTTTTAAAGCAGGTTCTCAGACATTGACAGCACTGTGCAGCGCAGTCTCATCCCAAGACGTCATATAACTGACGTCTTGGGACGTCTTTTGACCATACGTCAACATCCGCCTTTTTAGGGTACCCTTAAATGTCGGTTAGATGACGTTATCGGATCCTTACCCTACCCCAGACCTAAACCTACCCTGTCACCTAACTGACGTTAAAGGTAAAGCGTCAGTTGTATGACGGCCTGGGATCGTCATGCAACCAACGTTTAAGGGTACCCTAAAAAGGCAGATGTTGACGTATGGTCAAAAGACGTCCCAAGACGTCAGTTATATGACTTCTAAGGATAAGACTATGTTACACTGTGTTGGACTGATTTGTGCTGCAGTGTTCCAAAGAGCAACATAACATCATGACTTTTACGTCAACATACACGCCACTTTCAAGTCAAGTGGCGTGTTATCTATACGCATTTTGAGCCATTTCATGAGATCAGTCTGCTAGCGGAACTAGCTTTTGCGTGGAACTCGCAAGGTCTCTCTCGCTCTCTCCCTCTCTACCATGCACATTGGACGCTCCACGCACTATGCATGTTATGCGCGCAGTAGGTTCTAACTCGCTTTAGATTCCAGGAGGTTTTAACTAATTTGCGTGCATCAGGGAGAAGCTATAAATACGCGGGAGACTCCCAGAACTTCCGGGAGACTTGGGATGTCTGTATGGGAAACCCTGATGATAGCCTACAGCTTGGATAACGTGCACAATTGCGTTACGATTCAAAAAATTTATTGTTCATTAGACGAAACAAAAGCATTTCATTTTCACATGCGTGTAAGCCGCGAGAAAGACAAGATTGCATATTCTATATATGTATAAAAGCAATATTCGAATAGTAACTTCAGCATTCGAATAGTATTGATTTTTTAAATATTCTAATTATATTCGAATTTCGGAATTTGTTCCAACAGCCCTAGTACATAACACACAGGAGATAAACATCGAACAACTCCCTCAAGTGGTTGTAATTGCGAATAACATATTTTTTGAGAACTCAGTCAGACTTAATTTAAACTCTAATTTCTAAAAATAAAAAACGGAAAACACAAAAACTATGAAATGTTTAAGATTTACCACATTCGTAGGTTTGCAATGTTGTCATTAAATAAACAAAAATCTGTTCCCTTTTGCTCAAATTGTTGATGATTGCTGATGATTTACTTTGTGTTGAATTATTGTTGTGGTTGCCCTTATTTGTACAAAACAGACATCTTTTTCACATATACACCTATATGTGATCCCAAATTACCATCATTCAGCACACAGAAGTCCGGCCCAGAACTGGCAAATATTAACTAAGTTAAAGACCTTGTTTGGTGGATTTCTTCATATCCTAGAGTGAACAAACTAACAGACTGGAAAATGAGATCAAGTTTAGCTATTTTATGTGTTTGGTTATCCTTTAATGTTGATGCATCGACACCGAATGGTAAGGCATTTCTATTTCAAATGTATAACATACATGAATGATAGCAATGATAACATTTTTTAATTGTTTGGCAGGTTGCTCTGAGATCCCAGAGGTGGAGAATGCAGAACTTGCTCAAAGCTCAAGGAAAAACAACTACTCTGATGGCGATAAACTTGACTACAACTGCAAACATGGCTATGCATCTTCACTAAATATCACCTACATATGTAGGGATAATAAATGGACTAAATCACATGCTGAAAATTGTTCACGTAGGTATACAAGACACACACAGACTTTTAAATCACATTTACATCTAGTTGTATGCATTAAACGTAAATATAGTAACTGATTATCACGTAATTGGATTGCATTGAAAAAGGCACATGCATTTAAAAATTAAGGGTCCAAAAGTGGGTTTTAATAGAAGAAGAATTTTTGGTTCTCCAAATAACTTGGCTGGGTGGCTTGATATAAATGCTTTGGTGCTTATATAATTTATTTACAAGATAATGCATTTTGCTACAAAATAATATTTAAATAATAAGTCAAACCACGAACGTCGTGCTGAGTGATCTGAACTTCTGAACTGGATGAACGGCGTTCGGGGATCGACTTATCGAGACTATTTCCTAAGATGGCTCCTGCTGTGTATACATGAAGTGAACTGTCTTTATAACTTATCTTCTTATTAAACGGTCTGTACACTTACAAAGTTCTCAATGCTTCGTTTTGCATGTATGGACCCTCATTATGTTACTGTGTTAGTGTGGGGCTATTTTGAACCTTGTTAGTGGTACAAACTAGCGATTTCTTTTTACTTAGTCAATGCCCCCATTACTAGCATTATACGCTAAACAGTTTTTAGAGATAAAACTCTTTACATTCAATTATCATGAAAACAAATCTCAGAGAATGATTGACTAGGTACCGATGTTTTATTAGACCAAAGGTTCATTGTTCGCAGGGAGTTCTCCTTTAAAATGTGCAGCCAAATAATCATTTAACTGGTTTGAATGCCAGGTTAAAGAGATGTGTTTTTAGTCTTGTCACACCATTGGACTGATTTCATACTGCTTTACGATGCAATCATGCAGTGTTCCAACAGCATTAATCAACGCAGGTTCTCGTTACATCTTTAACTCAGTACCGTATAACAAAAATGTAGCTGTTATGTTAAACCACTAGTAGTATACAGTGGAAATCTGTAGTATAGTGACTCCAAAACACTGTGCCACATAAAGCAAAAAAGCTTTAGTGTGGATAAATATGTGATCAATTGTCTGCTTTCTCTAGAAGCAACATGTCCTCTAAACAAAACAGTGGAAGACTCAAAAATAGAGCGATTCCCTGACATTAAAGGTCCTGTCGAACAGGGACACAAGTTAATATTTTCATGCATTGGACAAGGGCTGATTTTAAAAGGACAGAGGGAAATCACCTGTCAGTCAAATGGAGAATGGAGTAGCCCTTTCCCTAAATGTGAAGGTAAGACCACATATGGTAAAATCATTGGATTGGAGAAACATAGATCAATGATAGATCTGTTGTTCACTTGAAGGATACTTAATTGATCAGATCTTTCTGTTCTTTAGAGGTAAAGTGTGTCGCAAAACTGCCAGCAAACATGAGATCAGACGCCACTGAGGACGGACCCCTGGGGCCTGAGGTTTCAATCACACCTGGACACACAATAAATCTTTCATGTGTTGGGAGGGGAACAAAATTACACGGAGAGCGAAAAATCACCTGCTTGTCAAGTGGAGAATGGAACGTCCCGTTTCCTAAATGTGTAAGAGGTGAGGTTCACAGGTTTACTAGTCGAGTTTTATTAGCAGTGTTCGTAAGCATCAATGTTGTTCATATAAAAGTGTAGGTCGCAGATTTTCACCCCTTTTTGTATTTTTCCAATGTCTGTAGTATATGTAAATGAACGCTTAAACTTGCAACAATTTTGGTTGCGTATGCCCCCGAAATTAAATCTCTGCGACCTTGGCAGCATTTGTATGGCAAGGCATTCCTATTTTTAATGAATAACATACAGAAATGATAGCAATGATGATGTTTTCTAATTGTCTGGCAGGTTGCTCTGAGATCCCAGAGGTGGAGAATGCAGAAGTTTCTCAAAGCTCAAGGAAAAACAACTACTCTAATGGTGATACACTTGACTACAACTGCAAACATGGCCATGTATCTCCACAAAAAATCATCTACATATGTAGTAAGGATAAATGGACTAAACTGCGTGGTGAAAAATGTTCACGTAGGTATACAAGACACACACACAAAGTATGCATTCAAAATAATCAGAGTAACAATTATCATGTAATTCCGTTGGATTTCTTAGAACTCTGAATTGCATGTTTTGTTTCTGATTCACGATCAGCCAAACGCTGTGAGCTGCCTGAAGATATTCCAAATGGTCGATACACTATTGCAATTGGCAGCAACTTTGTTTTTGGAACAACCATCAAGTATATCTGCAGAGATGGGTGAGTATGCATGTGTTTATATCTAAACAGATATAGACCATTTCACAAGATGTAAACAAGACTGGTCCAGAAGCACTTCCTGGTTCAGTTTTTTAACACTACATAAAAGCTGGGATAAAATACAACCAACAGAACATTTAAAACTGAATCAAAAAGTTCAACAAACATCTTTAAGATGTTTTCTTTACATGTGAAATAAAGAAAACAGTTACAAACTGAAACAGGAAGTGCTTCTGGACCAGTGTTGTTTACATCTTGTGAAATGGTCTATATTTGGGAAAAAAATCTTATAGTTATATTTGTCAAGCTACCAGATGACGAGTCGATTTGACACCAGAACATGTCGGGATGGTGGATGGGACAATCATTTACCTGTCTGTGAAGGTACTGAAAAAGTTGCATCAGTACACTTAAAAATGAATGGTCAAAAGTGGGTTTTCATGGAAGAAAATGTTTTGGTTCTCCAAAAGACCTTTCAGTGAACAGTTCTTAAAAGTCTTAAAAGTGTGAAGATCATGAAGAACCATTTTCCGCTATAAAGAACCTTTTGTGGAAAGGAAAGGTTCTATGGATGTTTAAGGTTCTTCATGGAACCAGATGCCACTATTTTTAAATGTGTAAACAGTGCATTAGGCCTATATTTTCCTTCTTTGACTTCACAAAAAATATAGGTGACATTAGATTGTTGTCTTCATATTTTTAATATCCTAAATTATTTTTAACTGTTTAAGAGGCTGGACCTCCTGATGTACCTACATGGATTTTGCCATCTGAGGTCCTGAAACTAGACTTCTTTAATTCTTTTTCTTCTTCTTCTTTTTTTTTTTTTTTTAGAGATAACGTGTGTCCCAGGCCAGATAGAGAAAAACATGCGAGTGGAGGGACTCCCTGATTATGATGAATTAATCAGATATGGACACAGGTTGACATTTTCATGTGTTGGTAATGGTCAGATTTTACAAGGACCGAAAGAAATCACCTGCCAGTCGAATGGGCAATGGAGCAGCCAATTTCCCAAATGTGAAGGTAAGGACGCAGAGGGTATATTCAAATGAACATAACTATTATAAAATAAGACTTTATATATCATTTTTGTTTACACTATTTTGCATATTGCTACAAAATATGTTGTATAATTCACGTTTATTATTATTTAATATACAATTCTATTTAATATTTCAGGTGCAATTCTTTTAATATACATTTTATTTCACAATACTATTTTGAAAATGTTTGCGTATTATTCTACATAAATGCTAATTAGTAAAATTATTATTTTCTTCATAAAGTAATGCATTTTGGTACATATTATTTTGTTGTATAATTAACATTAATGTGTTCAGAATATATTCACTTTTGTAATATTATGGTGCAATTCTTTCAGTATTATTTTTTATTAAATCATTTTGTATATAGCTAGGTAAAATACAGCATAGGAATACAAATAATCGGTACAGAGATTCATGTAAAAATTAAAGATACAGTCCAACTTCATGCTGACATTTTTTTATGAAAGTCCGCTGGAGGCAAGTGTAAGGAACCCATGTGCCGTGTATTTAATCCAAAGTAAGCAAATACAAAACATAGACTTGACCATGAACAGACTTGACCAAAACAGTCCCCAACAACAGGTTACACTGAACAAACCAAAAACATACAGCAAAAACATACAGCAAGTAAAACTGAAATACTTTGAGTAGCGTATTTCAGATGTTCTGCTGCTATTCTATCTTGCCCACAGGCTTTGTACATTTTAAGTTTGTCAATAGCATAACTTACGTACTTCCTCCGGCCTAATGACCACATCATCACTGTGAGGTATCTCTCCTATGTTAAACACATCACTCTTCACACAGTTAAAAATGTTCTCGTAGTGTCTCCTCCATAGCTCTGCAATGTTTTCAGGTTCAGAAATGCCCTTAATACTAGAAGGCAGTGGCATTTTGCTGTTAACCACTTTCACCCCCAAGTTCCAGAACTCATAAACATTATTAGTATGTAAATTTCTCGCCATGGAGTTTGCCCTCATAGTCTGCTCATTTCTTTTATAAAACGCACAGCATATTTAAACCTAGCATTAGACCGTACCTTGTGCTCACAGACTGGGCCATGCCTAGGTTAACCTGCTAAGACCCATCTTCTAAATGCGTCTCTTGCCTCCATACATCATGGACATAGTTATTCCACCCTGGTCTTACGATATGTTGTTTCACCACTTTACTTCTTAGTGATTCACTTCCATCAACTAATTCTATCATACATTACACATAGGTCATTATTGTGACTTACATTCTTACAGCAGCTATTGACACACATAATTGCATCAACAGGTAACTCAGTATTTCTCAAGTACACATCAGTCGGTAACTTGTAATATTGCAGATCATCTTCTGTAAGCCTTGTCCAGTCCAATATCTCACCTGATTTATGGCCATCACTATAGGCAAGCTCAGGTAAACCCTTAATATTTATAAACATAGAGACAGGAATATGGTCTGCTGTGGCCAAACCATATAGGATCTCAGCCTCCTTTATACAATCATGTGCATCAGCAGTAGATATACAATGGTCCAACCAAGATGTAGTATGCCATGCTTCACTCACATGTGTATAGCTATCTGCTGGCAGTAATTCCTTAGTGGACAGAATAACCGTGTTATCTTCGGAGAACTGTGTCAAGTGTTGACCAAAAAGTGAGCTAATATCTGATATATCAGCATTCAGATGCCCCAAGACAAATATGGATGTACACTTTCCCTTATGTAAGACCCTATAAAACCAAGCTGATTCAAATACTAATTTTCATTTTTGTGACATTCATATGGAGTATATACATTTAAGATTATAAAAACATTCTTATTATGCACCACCTTAATTCCTATGCACCAGTCCACATCTAACCTGATCACAGTGATCAAAGGGTCAAATTTCTTGTGCCAGAATATACAGTAGCCTCACCTCCTGGGATCCTACCACGCAAAATTCTGGTGTTTAAGTCTGTTGTGGATTCCCCTGCCCCATGAAAGTCATTGTTCACAGTATTGAGTTTATCCAGATCTTGAATAGCTAAAAAAAGTATCTTGCAAACACACCACAACAGCATTCTCGAAGAGCTTGTCAATAACAGTGCGTTGGGCTCTAGCTCCAATATGCAAACCACGGGAGTTATAGGATACAACTTTCAAAGCAGTTTATCATTGTTTAACATGCATGGGACACCCTTTGGTTCAGGCGCACTCATCTCTGTGTCAAGTGGTGCTTTAATACCTGCACGTACCGGAGCCCTAGGCTTGCGATTCTCATAGAAAGCGCCTTACATAGGTCCCTTCATCTCTGCGAATACATCTCTGCTACTTCGTTGCATTCAGCTGTAACTTTGAAAGAACTGTATAGCGAGTATACTCAGACAAGTCACATCTCTGGAAAGTTGTTCTTTTAAATAACTAGCCAGCGTCTCAGAATCGAAGTCAGGATAAAGCTTTGTCACAAAGACACTCACCAGCTTAGTTGTTACTGCATGTCTGTTCTCCACTGTCCTCCAATCCCCCCGCAAGCTGTCTCCTGGTGCAGGGTCCTTGTGACTTGGTCCATGGAGCTGGGCCTCCTCACTGGCCATGATTGTGGCAGCATTCCCCATGCTGGCACTGTGTTGCTCAATCACACTCAGTCGTTTGCTAATGTCTGTAGTTATTCCACGAAGGTTCCCACATTCAGTCGACTGCTTACACACAGTATTTTTCATTTAGCCGTTCAATCTTACTAACCAGGCAAGAGACATCGAGGCTATTAAAAGTCACTGATGGTAGATCATCCAAGTGATAGGACACAAAGCAAGGAACATTCTCACCAACCTCATTCAGTAGTTTTAGACAACTCTTAACATTGTTGACATCTTTCAGTTGCCCTTTGTGAGCTACACAATGTTGCCCAGTGCAAGGACACAGATCAAACAGGACCTTCTTGGAGTTTTCAATCCACTCTGATCCAAAATGATTTACAGCCATCAGGATAATGTCATCCTGAGGTACAGTCTTCAGTTTGACAGAAAGGAAGCTTAACAGTTCATCTTTCACTACAATTTTGCCATCAATAGTGGTGTAAATCTCAGGTTTAATCCTTTGTTTGATAACATGCCATGCGGCTCTGTCATCGGGCGGCCATCTTGGATTCCATAATCATTAAAAGAAAAAAGAAGAAGAAGAAGAATAACATAAGACCAGGAAACAAAAGTATTTAAAAATAAAAGACATGAAATTCCAGGAAAGAACATTCTGATGGTGATGCACTTGACTACAACTGCAAACATGGCTATGCATCTCCACTAAAAATCACCTAAATATGTAGTAATAATAAATGGACTAAATGGTGTGGTGAAAAATGTTCACGTAGGTATAGAAGACCCACACACATTTAGAAATTAGTGGACTGCACTAAAAAATACTTTAAATCTAGTTGTAGGTATTCAAAATAATCAGAGTAACTTTTTATCATGTAATTTCGTTGGATTTCTTAGAACTCTGAATTGCATGTTTTGTTTCTGATTCACGATCAGTCAAACGCTGTGAGCTGCCTGAAGATATTCCAAATGGTCGATACAGTATTGAAAGTGGCAGCAACTTTGTTTTTGGAACAACCATCAAGTATATCTGCAGAGATGGGTGAGTATGCATGTGTTTATATCTAAACAGATATATTTGGAGAAAAAAAAAATCTTATTGTTATATTTGTCAAGCTACCAGATGATGAGTCGATTTGACACCAGAACATGTCAGATTGATGGATGGGACAATCAATTACCTGTCTGTGAAGGTACTGAAAAAGTCAAATACACAAGGGTCAAAATTGGGTTTTCATGGAAGAACAATATTTGGTTCCCCAAAAGACCTTTCAGTGAACAGTTCTTAAAATAACCATTTATTTTCTTAGTGTGAAGATCATTTTGAAAATCTGAAGAACCATTTTCTACTATAAAGAACCTTTTGTGGGAAAGAAAGTTTTATATCGATGTTGAAGGTTCTTCATGGAACCAGATGCCACTAAATAACCTTTATTTTTCAGAATCTAAACAGTGCTTTAGGCCTATATTTTCCTTTTTTGACTTCACACAAGTGACATCAGATTGTTGTCTTTCACTTCAGAGGTTGTGTGTGTCACAAACCTGCCAGCAAACATGAGATCAGACGTCACCAGGGTTTCAATCAGACCTGGAGACACAATAACTGTTTCATGTGTTGGGAGGGGAACAAAATTACAAGGACAGAGTAAAATCACCTGCTTGTCAAGTGGAGAATGGAACGTCCCGTTTCCTAAATGTGTAAGAGGTAAGGTTCACAGGTTTACTAGTCGAGTTTTATTAGCAGTATTTGTAAGCATCAATATTGCTCATATTAAAGTGTAAGTTCGCTGATTTTCAGCCCTGTTTTGTATTGTTACATTATATATGTAAATGAACAATGTTTACTCTCTCTCTGTTTTACCTGGACAAAGAAATTCCCTTTAATTCGTCAGAAATAGTCTGCTGGATGATGATAATACTCAAGGCCTTTGTGAAAAGATCAGATTGTATTTTTGTTTTCCTGCCCACAAACAGTTGGATCGACAGAGGGTTATTAATGGAACAGTGCATTATGCGTGTTGACTTTTTTCCTATACCTATACATATTTGGCAAAAGAAAAGACAATGACCCCTTTTTCTCTGTTTTCTCTAGTCAGGGAGCACCAATTACAAAAAAAAAGTACCTTTCTACCACAAAGACAGCCATGTTTCACTGAAAGTCATTATGCTAGCAGAGAATTACTTCTTTAAAGGGGTCATGAACTGGCTTTTTAAATTTTATTATATTGTTGTCTGAGGTCAACTTATGACGTTCACTTGGTTTTTGCATTCAAAAACATCAAAATGAATAAATAATAGGCTATTTTGTACCATAGTTTTGAGCCTAGCTGAAAAGTTTTTATGGGCGTCTCGCACTGACGACTTGGAAGTAAACGCCCACTGCTGTGAGTGGAGAACAGTTTTGCATATTATAATGAGTTTCAACTCACCCGTTGTTGCACTTGGGGGAAATTGTTTTGAAAACATCCAATGTTGTAAAATGGCAACCAGAATGATTCGCCCATACATGTTCGACCCAGAGTCCGCGTGTTGCACCATTCCTGTTGGATCCAATATAGATGGCACTGTTCTTTACTCTTAATTGAAAACAGTCCTCAGTGAAATGAAGCAAATCCGGTTTGTCATTACAAGGTAGGCATCTATGTTATTTAGCTATGCATGTATTGCGCGAATCGGTGGGCGGGGCTAAACCGGTCGTGTTGTAGCCTTTGAAGTAGGTGTTGATCTTCTTCTGCGGGGGTGGTGTTTTATCCTCTTTGACGTCATAGTTCCCCACTTTTAAAAACGAGTCGTTTCCAGAGGCTAGTGTCAATAAAAGCTTTTATTGGACTAACAAGGACGTTTTCAGTTCTTAAACTTACAGGATATTCTTATAAGATGATGACCTCTTAGATGTCAAAAGCTCAAGGAAAAATTGATTTCTCAGTTCATCACCCCTTTTAAAGTAAATGCTCAACTTTGGTACAACAGCAACCACCCAAAACGGCCTTTGCACTAGCCCCGTGACGGCGAGTTTTGCATGGATAAATGCAACTTAAACTTTCTTCGGAATGTCTATCTAGTTTAGATCTAAAGCAGAAAGCCATTTTCTTCCAGCCTTTTATTAAAATTGCTTTATATTCTCACATTAATTTAATGCGCATTACATTAAAAACATTTTCTGTTGTTTAAGGCCATAAAAAGGCATCTGGCTGATATTGAGATGTGTTAATGCCATATTTACTTGAGATAAAAAACTGTCTAAAAATGTCTTTGCCCTCAGGGAAATGTGAGCGACCACCACCAGTAGAGTTTGCAGATACAACTAAAATGACAAAATCTGAATATGATTCAATGGAGAAAGTTGAATACATCTGCTTTCATAAATACACACTGGATCTGAATCCCCCCTACTCTAAATACTTGACCTGTGAACAAGGCGAATGGAGAGGGAACATCAAGTGTTTAAGTAAGTATGAACACTAAACCACATCAAAGACACTTAAGGCTTTTCTTGGTGTGTTTGTTAGTTATTATTTGTACAGTAAGTTTGGAGTAACCTTGTATGTTGTGCTGAAAAATCAATGAATATGTATTGTGACAGTGAATTGTTGTTTGTTTCAGAGCCTTGTACAGTGACGGTGGAGGAAATGGATGACAGAGGTATACAGCTGCGATGGGCTGGACGAGAAAAGATATTCTCACCACATCAGGACAGAATCACCTTTGCATGTCTGTGGGGCAAACGTTTAATAGACAGTAGCAATAACCTAATACAATACTGTAATGATGGAGTGATGAATTTGCCCAGGTGTGTGTGACAAGGAGAATAAAACATCACTGATACATCAGCTACTAATCAAAAACAAATGGAGCAAATCAAAATAAACCCTTTTACAATTCAGTTTCTCTGTTTTGGAATTCTTGCAATTAAAACTACATAAATGATAAAAACAAATTTGAAAATATGCATGTATGAAAACGACACTCGCGTAATGCCAGCTAAGTGAGAATTTTTGTACAATGCAAAAAGCTTGTAAGACGAAAGAAAGCTGCACATAATCATGTGTGTATACATATTTTATATAAGTCAGCCACACCCTCAGCACCAGATTCCTACACATGCTCCAAATCACCTGATTACTGATCAGCACTGCATCCAATCATAACTGCAACATAAAAGCAAACTCACTTTAATCCACTCTTGCCCAGGGTGCTTATCCCTCCTCGTCTCCTCTCTCCTATGACACGGAAACAGATCGAGCTCAGCCATCTTTTAGGACATCTCAATTCTCTAATGGGCTCTATACACAGCGCTGCATGGCGTATTTCTGGTGAAGGTCTAAGGATGCTGGATTACTTCCGCCCAGTGTTTCTCAAACTCGGTCCTGGAGGGCCCATGTCCTGCAGAGTTTAGCTCCAACCCTGATCAAACACACCTGAGCAAGCTAATCAAGGTCTTCAGGATCACTAGAAACTCACAGGTAAGTGTATTTGATCTGGGTTGGAGATAAACTCTGCAGGACAGCGGCCCTCCAGGACCGAGTTTAAGAAACCCTGCAAAGTTCTGCCGATCGTAGAGTCCTATGCTATGGGCTATATGCACAGGCGAAGGAACAAACCTCTGGTTTGTCTGGAAGTTGGCGTATTCATTTCCGGTCGTTCTATTTACATCCTAGCAACCAAAGCACAGCCATCGGCGTTGTTCGCAAAGAAGTACAATGTACGTGGTACATTCAAACTGATGAACACTGTGGCCGGCTCAAATTGATCACTGCTGTGTGCCAAGTTGCTCGGCTTCAAGTCAACACAACAGTGTATTAAGTTTTCATCGTTTTCCTCAGGAGGCTATCCTATGTGTTAAGTGGCTGCACAGAATACAGAGGGCGGAATTTACAGTCATTCAAAACACAAAGGTATACAGTCGTTTACTAGTTAGCGTTAGGCAAAAGCTAACGTTAGAAGTTATCAGATACTTACCCTCATAGTTGTGAATGTACGAAGAAATGTACATTTTAAATTCCTTGTCCCTTTTACTTGTCGGGGTGCGGGATAGGGCACCGACGATCCTGTGGATGTCGCTGAGGCTTACTGCCGGTAAATCCGAAGGACATCGGGAAAAAGGAAGTACTGCTAGCGGCGGCTGCTGTTTCTGTGGTAAAATTCCAGTAGTGAAATCGACAGGCTCATAACTGGAAATTGATATGCCAACTCTGAATGAAATCGAACATTCGCTCCATCCACTGTGCACCGAGGCTATACTGAGAATTTATATTGGCTTTTATACTCTATGGCTATACTAAAGAAACGTGAGTCACAAAAACAGACAAAACAGACACCTCTCATTTTGTTTATTATATTAAATGAATATAACTATATATAAAATGACATCTAAACGTAATAAAGTATCGTTTCAAAGAAAGGGTGAGAGTAAATTTTGAAGACTCTGCCATAATCCCGTTTTCCTCTGCTTTAAATCTCCCCAACCGGAAACTGAAGAGCAGGCTTGCGTCAAATGCGGAACTTAAGCGTGCATATTGCCCATTGCACCGCAAAGAGTTGAGGAGGCTTCCTGAAGAGTCATGAGCGAGGATGCACAGGTGTACCCTATGCGGAAGAGTAATCTTCCTTTATTATTATTTATTACAAATTCTTAAATAAACTTAAACAACATAAGGGCAGATCCTTTGAGTGCTCCTAATGACACTTGAGTGATCAAGTATTCCAATGCTTTCATTCGATTTGTCGGTCCTCCTTTACTCGCATCCTACAGGGGGTGGAGGGAGCTGAGACACGAGGATAGATAGAGGATTCAAAAATTAGAAAATAGAAGCACCCCCTGTCCCTTTACTTGGCCTGCGTTCCACTCTCTGATCTCCCTCCATGGATTCATGTGCGCCATGCGAGTTACGTTGAACGAGTGCCCACTATTGGCAGAACTCATGCACAAGATTTATTTGGTAAGTACTTATAAACCCTTAGTAACTCAGCTGATTTATTATTTAAACCCCTTTTACTTATACAGCATACAAGTTGTTAGAGAATATAAATAAAATCCTATTGGTAGATCTGTTGGAGAAAAAAAAAATACACAAAAAAATATCAATAGTATAAACTTCGACAGTCTGTGAAAATACTTTGTAGCTACAAGTATGCAATTAAATCTCAACACAACATTATACCAAATCATGCATATATCATAAACTACAGTAACTTAAGCACAATCTACTGACATCCCAATCAAGTTGACTTTTGGGATATAGATATTTTTGACGTGTACATCGGAGTATATTATAGCAACTTCAATTTTTAAAAAAATAAAATTTCCAAAAATATAACATATTATATTATAACAAATTATGACTAATAATTTACTCTCATGTTCTATTCTTGTAGACTTGTTATTTCAGTCAAAAATGGCACCAGGACATATAAAAAGCAGTGGTAATTTTTAATGTTCAAATACAGCACATTAAAAGATATCAATTCCAAATTAAACTTCTTTTATTTACAGCATCTCAAAGCTACCATGTGCCATCTTACAGCACAGACCCTAAAATATGCAAAGAGAAGTCATCATTCCACAATATTTAGAGATAAAACAGAGCAATAAAAATATATACACAAACCAAACAATATTTACAAAGCCAACAGGGTTCACTATTTTGAGCAACAAATAAACACTTTGGCAGGACACAATTTTGTAACGTTTTTTCTTGCTGCAATATTTTCAAGGCACAAGGGCCAGAGCGTTAGCAAGCATCTGAATAGCACAGAGAGGATCCACAATGTCCTTCATTTTGTCACGCCTCAGAACCCAGTCTGGAGCAAACCTGAGGGAAATCAAAAGATTGGCAGGTCAGTCTCTTTCTTACGACACAAGTTAAGCCAGAATGCTTTACAGATAGGAGATAACCGCATACCTGGTCACTGGTTTTGACTTCCGTGGGGTGGCTTGGAAGAAGAAACTTCCATTGAGAGACGAGTTCATTTTCTGCTTGACTTTGTTTCTCTCAGAATCCATTTTGCACTTTCGAAGTGTGAGTCGGCAGATGCTACGAATGCGATCTGAAACTTTGTGAAGCGTTTGGACCTCCTGTTTGAAAAAGGCATTCAAACAACGAAATGCAATGATATTGAGCAAGTTTTCATGACAATTATGAAATTTATGAACCCATTTCCAATCATTCTTTTTTACTTTGGTTTAAAAGGGAGATTTGGCACGTTTGGCTGCCACTAGTCCCCTCTCATTTTTATTCTTTTAATATGTTTATCTGACTATTCTGAGTGGTCGGCAGGGACTTGGAGCTTTCGAAATCACCTTATTACATGCAGAATTATGCTTTAATCATCGGACTGCTATTTTTTTTTTTATCTCTGAATAAAACCTGCTGCATGGCCCAGGACTTACATGACCACAAGATTGCTGCTGGAGTGGATTCCCTCTGCATGGTTTTAAGGTACACAGCTTACAAACAGCTGAACCTAAAGTAGTTATTAAACAAACGACACCTATGAACTTTGCTTACATACAGGAATTTTTTGACCTATGCACTATACACACACCTCCACTCTTTCGATCCCGGCTTTTTAATTGTTCTCAATTGCGCTCTATGGGTGACTGGGCCTCTCCTTCATTTGCTCTAAAACTGCAGAACCCTCTTAGATTAGACATGCTGAATCTTTAAGTGTGTTTAAATCTTCTCTTAAAACAAATGGTTTTATAGCTAGCTTATATGCGATTTATATGTTTTTATTTTGTCTTTCCCCATTTCAAATGTAACTTTGTAAAGCGCTTTGAAAAGCAACTATATATATATATATATATGAATTTTAAAAAGCTTATTATAATATGAACACCCACCATTGCTCTTCTTTCATCCTGGACCAAGAGAACCAAGAGAAAACAAGTTTTGGTGAAGATGCAGCCACCTTTTACTGCAACCTTGTCTCCAGCTTTCTCCCGGTAGATCTGCAGAAGATCCAGGAGGGTTTCTATAGAGTTGTCCACATCATAAACTGCATCTATGGTTCTGTTGTACTGAAAAATATGAAGAAGAAAAATAATCTGAATTTGCTGAGCAAATATTGCAATATTCAGTTAATAAATCAGCATATTAGGTAATTGATACAAATTTGTAATTAGTAATTAACAGCAAAATACTTTTGATAGGTTTAGAAGAACTTGAATGGATAATGTGATGATCTCCATTGAAGGAAGACTTCGGTTGCAGCTCCTCATCAAAGTGAAGATGGTGTGAGTCACTCCACTTTCAACAAGACGTTCACAGCACTCTGGTGAAAGTCTGGTGGCAGTTTCTTCAACCATAAAGAGATAACGTTAGTGAACGTTTTATGAAACAGCCTATCTTATAACGTTTTATGAAACAGCCTATCTTATACAATCTTATAAAAATGTTTCTTACCTAAATGTCTCAAGGCCGCAAGAATGTAAGCATAATTCTGAAATCCTAGCAGGTAGCTCAATGCTGTTGTAGTCTTGTTACACAGCTTGTCCTCTTCCTTCACCCTTCGATTTACTTCCCCAAGACGTTGCCTTATGGAAACGACTTTGCTTGTGTCATGATGTTTTCTTGAACAATGACCCCTCCAGAGTGCCTGAAAACAGTTAATCATATTGCAAGACCAACATCAACATAATGCCCCCTGTGTGGTCTAAAGAATAAATCAAGTTAAACTAATTTGGGAAAAAAAAAAAAAAAAAAAAAAACTTTAGTCATCCAATTTAGTAATTCTAATCTAGCATTAAATACGTAATGTGTTATAAAATATATGCAGTATGTTTCAATACACCATTTAATTTAAGGCACCATACCTGTGCCTTTATTATTCCACGTTGAAGCTTTTCCTCGCTACGTCTAAGGAGGAGCTTCCTGACTGCAC